AATAAAACATCTTGACAATACTGTGTCTTCCTATCTATGAACGCAGACTGCTTCTCCATTCATGCAGATGTTCTTTGATTTGTTTCTTCAGAGTTTTACTATCTTTCTCGTGTAGATCTTACACATACTGACTGTAACTGGTATATTTCTGCCCATTTTTTTTTTAAGTTCTAAGTCTGAGTCACTTTAAGTGTTTTCCTAGTGCAAAGTACATTGTTTTTGACATTAAATCAGAAAATCTAAATTAGTTTTTCAACTTAACACCTACTAAGACAGATACCTTTGGGGTTGCTTTGATGTCTTACTTTTTTTTTTTTTAGTTTTAGTTGGACACAGTATCTTTATTTCATTTATTTATTTTTATGTGGTGCTGAGGATCAAACCCAGTGCCTCACACATGCAAGGCAAGTGCGCTACCACTGAGCCCCAACCCCAGCCCCTCTTTGCAGTTTTAATACGTTCAAAATATGTTAATTGATTTCAGAAATGAACTTGTATTTACTGATTCACACCTATGAAATAAGCAAGAATGGGCTACAGTGGACAGTGGTCATACACTTTGTCCCCAGGACCTGGACCTCTTCTCTGGCTGGAGGGACTATCTTCTCCATGTGCTCAGTGTAGGGAAAAAGTTGATATCTCAAAACAGGATCTGAGAATGTTGATTCTCACTTTCCAAGAATCCCTTGCAGCTTGGGCACCAGCATGTGACTTTGATCCTGTCTGTCAGACCTACATGCCAGACTTCAACTAACGATCCAAGAGGGAGGAGTCCGAGCCCTGTTCTGGCGAAGTGTCAGTGGCCCTGGCTGGATGGCTAATCCCTGGCTCAGAGCGGCAACCCCACGAGCTGGAGCATGTGAGCTGGATGGTGATTATCCCTCTGCACTGCTGTGAGGACTAGTCCCGGAAACTGAATTTTATGCTGAAGTTCTCTAGTCTGTCCTGACTACCCCACCTGATCCTGTTTCCATGATGTTGATTTGGGACCTGAATCAAAAGTGAGCTGTTCTAAGTAGATCAAGTGAATCATTCTTTGACCAAAAACTCCTGAGACCCAGATAGTGTGTGGGTTCGGTGATGAGCAAGTCTTTCAGCCCTTTGGGGGAGGAACTGGTGACTGGGAGTTTCCCCAGAGGTTATCCTGTAGTCTTAATGCATATTTTCGTGTGTAAATTAACAGTTTTGCACATTTACATCTCTTTTCATAAAGTTCTACAGCATAAAACAGAAAAGCAGCATAGCCAAGCATGGTAGCCCACGCCTGTAATCCCAGTGGCTCAGAAGGCTGAGGCAGGAGGATCGTGAGTTCAAAGCCAGCCTCAGCAACTTAACAAGGCCCTAAGCAATTCAGGGAGACCCTGTCCCTAAATAAAATATAAAAAAGGACAGTTCTCCATGTGTGTATTCTTGTTCAAGAAATTTTTCAGTCCCTAGGAATTTATCCTACACAAATAATCAAACATGCAAATTTTATTGGCCAGTGGGTTCACTGAGTGTCTTTTTAAACAGAATACCCCAAAGTGGAAGCAAGTGAAATGTCTGAGAACAGGAGAGCACTTCAATAAATCACAGTACTCCAGATGACGTAGAAAACAGATACTAAATAGGACATTTTAGGAGAGTATTTACAGACCTGGATATATAATCACAAAACATTGTTCAGTGATAAATCAGGATGAGAAAAGCAAAAGAGGTACACTATAACCTCAATTTTATAATATGTAAGACATATTCAGTTGAAAAAACACCAGCCTGTGGTGGTCACAGATCACTCAGTTTTCTTCTTTCTATTGGTCTGCATTTCCCCAAAATTTTCCAAAATAAGCAAGTACCATTTTTTATGAACAGAGAAACAGAGTATCATTTTCAAAACAAGAATTAAGACCCCCAAATAAGATGGGTTTGGTGGTGCATGCCTGTAATCCCAGAGGCTCAGGAACCTAAGGCAGGAGGATTGTGAATTCAAAGCCAGACTCAGCAACTCAGCAAATCCCTAAGCAACTTAGAGACCCTGTCTCTAAATTAAAAAAAAAATATATATATATATATATATATATCCTCTGTCCCTATGAATTTGAGCACTCAAGGGACCTCCCACAATTGGAATCATACAGCACTTGTCCTTTTGTTATGGCTCATTTCACTTAGCACACTGTCCTCGAGGTTCACCTGTGCTGTGGCCCATGTCAGCATTTCATTCCTTTTCAAGGGTGAGTACTATTCCCATTGTCTGGGTATGCACTGCCTGTATGCATTCCTCTGATGACGGACACCTTGGCCCATCTGAGCCTTGGCTGTTGGACTGGTCCACAGTACGCAGATGGGCAGGGGTCTCTTCAGCACACTGAGCTCATTTCTTTTGAGTACATCTCCACAGATCATTCTCTGAGAATGTGAGAAAGCCGGTATCTTTATTTGGGAGCTTTTTAAAATATATATATATATATATATATATATATATATATATATATATATATATATATATATATATATATACACCAGGGATTGAATCCAGGAGCACTCAACCATTCAGTCACATAGGGACAGAAAGCAGAAGGCAGCTGCCAGGACTGGGGGAGGAGAGGAGGGGAGAGGGTGTTTGTAATGGTGACAAATGTCTGTTTGGGAAGATTAAAGCTGGAGGGTGTCGATGGTCACATCACCTTGTGAGCATACTTAACGTGATGACATATACATCTAGAAGGGGTTTAAATGACACATCATGCATCTATGCATTTGACCATGATATTTTAAAATGTTGAAGGCTATATAAGGAAGATATGGCAGGGGTGACCATGCCCTGTGCCCGAAGGCGGCCTCTCCTCAGTGACATGGCTGTTTCCACAGTAACGTGACCATCACTGGCTGCTCCCTGGAGTCCCCAGGGTCTGGACCAGCCACACATCCCAAAGCACAAGCTCCCGAGACTCCTTGCCTCTGACCTGGCGTGGGACCTCTCCTCCTAGTGTTAGATCCTATGCGAGGGTCTCAGGGGAAGGGAAGGCCTGACAGACCCAGCCTCCTAGCTGAAGGAGAGTCCCCACCTGGTGGCCACTCCTCCCAGTCCCCTGGCCAGGCCTCCACCTAGGGCTCTACCTCTCTGCTGGCGTCTCCACGTCTTCTCTCTGAGTTCTGCTCAATTTCTTGGTGCATTTGCCCCTTGGCCCTCTGCTCAGCCCAGCCTCTGCCCCTCGTCTCTCCTGATTACTCAGGGCTTCTGCTGCCTCCTGGCCTCTGACCAGCGGATCTGCCACCCACTGGTAGTTCGTCTCGCACTCCAGTGGCCTTGTGGCTTGGCCCTGCGCCTGTGTGCATGGCGCCTGCTCTTGAGTTGCCCAAAGCCCTCACCAGTCCAACGGGCGGCTCTCTGCATATGAGTTCGCTGACCTTTCCTTGTCCGGTGTCAGCCCTAAACCAGTCCCAGCCCACAGCCCTGATCACTGTGGTGGAGATGGCCTGCTAACGCGGCTTTCCAGGACCTGCTCTGCAGGGCTGTGCTTGGGAACGCTCTCACCAGGGTCTTCGTCCTCACAGCAGGGGCCTTGCCCATCTTCACTCCTCCAGCTGGCACTCCTCAGGCATTCTTCAGTCCCCCCAACCCCGGGGCTTTCCCTGCTCTCTGGGTGCTCACCTCGCTCTCTCCTCTCACCGAGGACCAGGGACTGTGTCTGTGCAGGGTTGGGGGCACAGCACCTCATGCACATGGCAGAGCGGTCATTCACTCATGGCCAGGACACAGGAGATGGGGGGGTGACCCCAGAGCCCCACACTCCCCCCCCCAGAGCATGCTCCCCTCCCCCAGGTCCTCCTAAAGGGTCCGTGACTTCCCAACACCAGCAAGCTGAGGACCATGACTTTAACACACGGGCATTCCAGATCTGATCTGTGGCACAGCTGGTGCTGGGCGGTGAGAGACACGCCTACGTGATCAGGCTCCACCTGAACCAACTGCCTTCCTAGTGCCATTCTCCCCTGCTGAGTACACCCTCAGGTCTTTCTTTTTTTGGGGGGGCGGAAAGTATCAGGAATCAAACTCAGAGGCACTCGACCACGGAGCCCCATCCCCAGCCTTATTTTATATTTCATTTAGCAACAGGGTCTCACTGCGTTGCTTAGCACCTGGATGTTACGGAAGCTGGCTTTGAACTCATGATCCTCCTGCCTCAGGCTCCTGAGCCTCTGGGATTACAGGCGTGCGCCATCACACAGGGCTACCTTCAGGTCCTTCTGTGTGGGCTTTCTGGCTCCTCTGATGGCTTGTACCCGAAGCCCTGTGGGGAAGGGTGACTATCTCACAGAGGCAACAGTTGGCATGGCCAGCCATGCTCCAGATGAGACAGGGCTCAGTGCTGGAGCCCCGAGGGTGCCAGCTCTGCCAACACAGACTTTAGGAGTCGCCTGCTGGTGCAGATTCTAATTTTTGAATCCCAGATGCTGAGCAGGAGGAGCCTTGGATTTGTGTCCTGACAGGCTCCGTGGACACGACGCTGTTCCAGCCCCAGCCCCAGCCCCAGCTCCAGCTGCGTTTCAGAGCCGCCAGCTCCACTGGTTTCTGACCAGCTTCTATGGGGCTCTGGAGAAGTGGGCTTCGCCTTGCTGAATGGAGCTCTCCCTGGTAAAGGAGCCTGCCCTCAGCAGCGGCTCACAGTGGGAGTGGCCGGCACTCCCAGCCTCCCCCAGGAGCATCTGACACAGGGGCATGGCTCCAAGCTACACCCCCAGCATGCCCCTGTCACCAAAGAAGTGAAGCTGCCTGACCTCGAGGTCACCGCATGGGGCAGAAACCCTGGGACTGACCTCATCCTTGGACTCCCTTGCTCACTTGTTGGCAGGAAGACGTGGTTACTCAGGCTGAAGTGAGCAGGGGTCTGTTTGGGGGCCTCCTTGCACAATCAGGCACTCCCTGCGTTCCATGTCACGTGAACCCTGGGCATGCTCCAAACTCCAAGCAAGCGCATTGGCCCCTGCCAAGGCCCTGCGCCCGCCCGTGCACTCACCTTCACCCGGTCCATGCAGGCCTCCATCTTCAGCTGCTCCACAGCTCGCCGGGCCTGGGAGATGCTGGTGGTGCTGTTGTTGGACGTGGACATGCCCTCCTTCATCCTGCTTCCCTGGAAGCAAGCACAGGGGAGGTCTGGAGGCTGCTCTCTCAGCCTCCCTGCCTCCCCGCCTCCCACCACAAACCGACCCTGGGCAGAGAGGGGAATGCTCAGGACAGCAAGGACAGCAGGACGCTGTGCTCTTGTGTGGGGACTTTCTCAGCTTCGGGGAGAGTGAGGACAAAGAGATGAACCCCTGGTTAGAGCGTCACCACCAGTAAGACCTGGAAGTATGTTGGAAGTCAGTAATCGACACACCTGTTTGCTGACTTGGCAGGACAGTGCTCATTTTTGTTTTGTTAAAAAAACAAAAAGTGCAAAAATCAGAGAAATGAAGCCAACAGCCAGAAGTTCCAGAGATCAGTGTGTGAACCCAGGACCCGGACTCCAGGCTTTGCAGGCTGGCTGAGGGTCTCCCCTGGCTCACACGGCTCGTAGGCGCTTCTGAGGGGAAACTGCTTTGCTATAGATTTTAGATTGTTGTCACTCCAAGAGGCTCACAGACCTCAGGTCGGGAGTCTGTTTCTAAATAACCTCACCCATACTCTGTCCCAAGCATAGCTTTGCTGTTCTAGAGGGGGAAGAAATTCTCCTGGTCTGTCCCATAAAGATGACAGTGACTAAGACGAGACCCTGTAATGCCAACAGTCCCACCATGAGTGTCTGCCTGGCACAGATCAGTTACTCCGCCCATGAGAGGCAAAGATTAAGGTCTGAGCATGGAGGACGGTCACTGCAAACAGATGCCCAAGGGACCTGGTGGAAGGTTTTCATGGGGCCTCTGATGGGCTGCACCTGTGGCTCCGACCCAGGAAGCACAGAGGTGGGGTGGCGCCAGGGCACTGCTTCCTTCCCCAGGGCTGCTGGTCTGACTCACGGGGACCCCTGCTGGGGCTGTGGAAGAGTGGAGGCCAACACCCCTCATCAGGCTCAGGCTCAGCAGTGGCCTGCGGCTGTGTGCTTGGGAGACAGTAGCTCTGCTTGGAGGAAGAAGCTGGTCTTGCTGAAAGCATTATCCCCACCCTGCTCCTGAGCGAACCAGGACAAGACAGGTCACTCTCTTACCTGCTGAGAGATGGCACAGTGAGAGGCCTGGGCAGGGGACGCAGGCTGGTGGTGGCAGCAGTCAGTCGTCAGCTGGAGGCTGACTCAGGGCTCCGGCTTTGGGGCTCACCTGGAAGCACAACCAGAGGTGTGTGTAGAGGCTCAGGGAAGCCTCCTTGCTGGGTCCCGGTGTCCCCACTGGGTCCCGGTGTCCCCACTGTCCTGGTCCCATGGTGTCTCGCTCCCAAGCTCAGCAGCTTCCCTGTGAGCCTGGGGACTCTCAGATCAACCCTCCAGGAGACTGTGGGCTAAAGGCAGAGAGAGAACCCCTGAGAGGACACAACAGACTGGGACTCCATCTGCAGGACAAGGCCACTGGGGCCTCACCAGACGGCCCACGGCCCATCCACCTGTCCTGTTCCTCTGCCCGTCACTCCAAGGTCTAGCTCTAGCAGCTGCTGATAAACGGAAGCAGTTCACAAGGTCTATTCTTACTATACAAATACACGTCCAGTGTAGGAAAATAAAATCACAACAAAGAAGATAAAGACCCAGCTCAATTCTATGTCCTAGAGACAATTCTGCCTATGGTGTTGGTGACTATCATTCTTATACAACTTGATTTCAGCCACAGCGCACTTAGCATGGAGGTGGGACAAAGTCAGGTGACTTCAAAGGTCTTCACAGAGGGACAAATGTCCATGTCTGCCTCCCTCCTTGACAGAGCCACCCCAGGATGGACAACACTCAGATGATGGGCTTGTTCCCAAGTGCCACTAGGTGCCCTGCTCAGCTGCGTTCACTCCAGGGATCTGGAGGAACTTGCCACAAAAACAAAGGACCTGGCTGGAGCCAGGGACCAGGCAGCCACCCAGGCTCCAAGCGCCTGAAACTTGGGATCTGAAAACATACAGCAGGAAGGTTTCCAAGAGCATTGTCAGCAAGTGAAGGGACTGGGGTCCTCCACTGGCCGAGGAGAGGGGACAGAATAGAGGGGGCCACCGTCGATGACACAAAAGCCGAGTAACTTCCAGGAGCACAGGTGCTCCTCTATGGGAAGTTCTCACCGCAGGTTGTACTACAGCCAGGGGTGACCTTAGCCCCTCGTGAAGGGTGAGGTGCAAGGAGATTAGATCTACATAGGAAGGTGCCTCTCACAAGAGCCGCAGCTCTGGTGACAGCCACGCGGGCCCTCAACAGGAGTCTGCCTTAGTCCATTCAGGCGGCTGCCATAAGATGCCATAGATTTGGTAGCTTTTTTTTTTTTTCTTTAGGTACCAGGGATTGAACCCAGGGATGCTTAACCACGGAGTCATATCCCCAGCCCTTTTAATGTTTTATTTAGAGACAGGGCCTCTCTGAGTTTCTCAGGCCCTCGCTAAGTTGCTGAGGCTGGCTCTGAACTCAAAATCCTCCTGCCTCAGCTTCCCAAGCCATTGGGTTTACAGGTGGGCACCACGGTGCCTGACTGATTTGGTAGCTTTTAAACAACAGAAATGTCTTTCTCACAGTTGTGGAGGCTAGGAAATCCAAGATTGGGATGCCATCACGGGTGGGTTCCAGCAGGTCCCCTATCTGAGCCCACCACCTGCCAGCTCCTTGCTCGATACTTATGGGCAAAAAGCAGCCCCTTGTGTAAGGCACAAGGCACTCGTCAGGGATGAACCCTGTGACCATTGCCTCCAATGCTACAGACCTTAAATGCTTTGCATTGAGGGTCGACTCTAACTTATGAACGGTGTGCGACAAACATTCAGACAATAGCAACGGCCCAAACTCCAGAGTGGTTTCTACATCAGGAACTTAAGGTTTCTTCCTAGCTACTCCCAGTTCTCATGTAATTTACCAATGGGACACATCTTTACCATAAGAAATGTTGCCTAGCAACACAGTTAATCTCATCAGGGTTCCTGAGGGGTGACAGCCTTCCCCCAAATGTCTGTGACCCAACCCAGGAACCGGCAAACCAGTTAAGCTCCATGATGAGGAGGACCTAAGGTAGCAGTTGGGTGAAGATGGCAGATCAGCTGACCCTCTTAAGGTGGGCAGGGTATTGTGAATCATGTGGGTAGGCCCACTGTAATCACGATTGTCCTTAAAAGTGAAAGAGGGAAGCACGAGACTTGGTGTCAGAGAGAAAAAAAGCTGTGACACTGCTGACCCTAAAGGAGGGGGATCCCAGGACATGAGCAGCCTCTGGAAGCTGGAAAGAGCAAGCAAAAGCGTCTCCCCTGGAGCCTCCAGAAAGAGCACAGCTCTACCACACCTTGGGGTCAGCCCCCGACATCCCATTTGAACTTTTGACCTCTAGAACTGTAAGGTAATCAATTTGTGTTGTTTTAGATCACCAGATGTTTGGTGGTTTGTGACAGCAGCAATCCAGAGTAACAGAGGAAGTTGGCTCACGTGTTGTCTTTTCTTGCAGTGGGGGGAGGAAGGGTTGTGAGCCGTCTCCCTAATCAGGTGTCCAGGGCTGGCCCCTTGCTCCTTCTCAGCCTCATCTCTGGTGCCCCCACCTTTCATCTGCCACAGGCATGCTGGACTACTGTAACCTCCAGACTTACTTGGGCCCTATTCTTGCCTTTCATTTCTTAGACCAACCCCATCTGGTTGGTGATGATGTCTTGCCCCTTTTGTGCATAACTGGGCACAGTTTTTTAATATTCTGTTGAGGACTTCTGTGTATGTTCATGAGGAATATTGGTCTGCAGCTTTCTTACAATGTTTTTAAGGGGGTTTGGTATCAGAAAAATTCTGGCCTCATTTGGGATATGTTTCTTCATCTTCCAATTATTTGGAAAATTTGGATGGAATTAGAATTAGTCTCATTTCTTCCTTAAATGTTTGGTAAAAATTCCCCGGTGAAGTCACCTAGGACTAGAGTTTTCTTTGTAAAATGTTTTTAACTACGAATTCACTTGTGTTAGTAGAAATAGGACTATTCAATTTTCCTCTTTCTTCTTGTGATAAGTCTGATTGTTGTCTATTCCGTGGAATTTGTCCATTTCATCTAGCTATTGAATTCATGTAATGTTTTTGAAAATATTCTTTTTATGTATGTAGGGTCTGTGGTGCTGTTTCCTCTTTCATTCCTGATACTGATAATCTGTCTTCTCTCTTTCTTGGTCAATCTGGCTATGGGTCAAAGAACTAGCTGTAGGTTTCATTTGTCTGTCCTTAATTTCACTGATTTCTGTTCTTATCTTTATTAGTTCCTCTCTCTCGGCTTACTTTCGGTTTATTTTTTTTCTCTCTCTTTTTTAAAGTGGAAGATGAAGTTGTTGATTTGAGACCTTTCTTCTTTTCTAAAATAGCATTTAATGGTGAAAATTTCCCCATAAGCACTGAAGCTCACACATTTTGATATCAACTCAAAACATTTCTAGTTTCCTTTGTGATTTCCCCTTTGACACATGGGATGTTCAGGAGTATGTTTTCATATTTGGTTAGGTCAGAGTCTAACCTCGCTTAAGTTTTTAAAGTGTGTACAATTCCCTGCATGTATTACTCAAAGCTTTGAGTGCTGATGTGGATCTTGGATGGATTCTCAGTTTTGCTCAGCCGCTTAAGATCTGGCCATGGGCGAGGCTGGGGCTTTTGTGGGTTTTTATAAAAAACGAGATGATCCACTTCTCCCACTCTCTCTCTCCCCCAGGACTCCTCCCACACTCTCCAGTTCACAAGAGCCCCTTTCCCTGTTTTCTTTGCTGGAAGACAGGGTTTATCTTGGAGATATGGCCCTCGGTGCTGCCACCACTGAGTTCTGTACCTGGAGCCTGCCCTTGGGGCAAGGCTATGGGAGAAAGGAGAAAAGGGGAAAAATGACCACAAGGGCTCCCTTCCCGGGTTCTCTGGCCAGAAATGAGGGTTTCTATGGATGCACTAGCTGTCTACACTGCCGTTCTGCTCCTGGCCCATTCTCAGGCAACAGCACAAGAGTAAGGGGAAAACGGGAAGAAGCGCTTCTCCGTTAGGGTCACTTCTCAAGTTTCTCTTCTACAATCCACATGTTTTTTTTTTTTTTTTAATTTATTTAGAGACAGGTTCTCTCTGAGTTGCTCAGGATCTTGTTAAATTGCTGAGCCTGCAGAGGGATTGCTCCACCCAGGACTTTCTGTGCGCCATTCCCTCTGCCAAGAATGCCCTTCCTTTCTGCCTAGTGCTAGTTCAACTCTCATAAGGTGGTGGGCTGTGCTGACCTCCAGATCTTCCCTGACCTCTCTCACCCTTTAAATTCAGCTCAACAGCCACAGCACGCCCTCCTGTGTGTCCATCAGTCTGTCTCACTACCAAGCAGCAGCTGGGCAGGGAGAAGGACCTCATCTTCCCGATCATCACTGTATTCCTGGCTTGCAAAGGCTGACGAAGCAATGGAGTGATTGTTTCTATTTTATACCTGAATCTACATTAAAGAGGCAGGAGGGACATCTGAAAATGGCAATCACAAATTGTGAAGGCTCCCCGGTTTTTTAAATGCTGAAGGGAGAAGCCGGAGGGTCCCCTGGGCCTTTGCCAGAGGACAGCTGGAACAAACAAGTCTGAAGACCTTGGCTTCTGCCGTCCCTTGAAGGCAGCCTGGAACATTCAGATTATGTCAAATTCCATTTCACATGACATTGTTTCAACAAAAAAGCTATTTTTACAGATGGGGAAGTGACTGACAGAGAAAAGTGATAGTTTTGAGTCTTCGATGTAATTTTAATTGAAGGAAGGACAAATGCCGTCACATCCCAGCTCCTAGCATCATCCAGCAAGAATGAATTTTCCATAAACGATTTTAGGGCAAACCATCAATTTCCACATTTCTGGAGACTCAATCTTTCTTGAAAGCAGGATGACTTTATTGCGGAGCATGCAGGTACGTGTGTGATTTCCCACGTCACATGCTTCCCCTTAGGACTTCTGTGCTTCACGAGAACAGATCAAGGAGGCTCCTCTGTCCTCTCTGCTCTGACAGGGCTTCCTCTCCATGTCCCTTTGCCACCTTGGTATGCGTCTTGGTCATGGGTGTGGTTTTCAGACAGCTCCTGAGGGATGGAGGGGGGACTGCCAGTGAGCCTCAGCCTCAGCACCTGGGGAGTGTCTGACCTCCTGCTGGCTCTCTCCAGCCACAGAACAACATCCCTTCCTGGGTCTGCACAGTGTGTAAGCCTGGGGTCTGCCTTCACAGCGCCACACAGGGCACCCACCACCCTACACGTCCCGACTCTCTACCACTTGTCCGTTCTCCCTCCCACTGGACTCTGGCACTTATCTTTTTAGTGTGTCCACAGTTTGGCCCTTTCCAGAATGTCATGCAGCCTCTGCAGACCGCCTTCTTTCACTTAGCAATGGGCAGTTGAGGTTCCTACGTGTCTTCAAGGTTTGATAGTGCCCTTTTTTTTTTTTGTACTGGAAATTGAACCCACTGGCACCTTACCAGTGAACTACATCCCCAGTCCTTTTTGAGTCCTTTTTATTTGAGACTAACTTGCTGAAGCTGGCCTCAAACTTGCAATCCTCCTGTGTCAGCCTCCAGGCATCTGCCACTGCGCCCAGTAGTACCCTTGTTTTTCGTGCTAATGTTCTGTTGTCTGGATGCACCACATTTTATTTATCTACCCACTGACCAAAAGACATCTCAGTTGCTTCCACATTTTGGCAATTATGAATAAGATTGCCACACACATCCATGTGCAGGATTTTTGTGAAAATAAGTTCTCAACTCAGTTGGGGGAATACCGATGAGTGTAATTGCTGGATCTTATGGTAAAAGGGGGTGTAGTTTTGTAAGAGACTGGCAAACTGTCTTCCAAAGTGATCACTCTGTTTTGCATTCCCACCAGCAATGAGCAAGAGCTCCTGATTCTCCTGTCCTGGCAGACATCTGGTGTTCCCAGCCTTCTGGATTTGGGCCACTATAGTAGGTGCATAGCGCTATCTTGTTAACTGTTTTCATTTGCATTTCCCTAACGACAAATGATGTGGTGCATCCTTGCACGGCTGATGTGCCATCTGCTCCTCTTGAGTCAGCTGCTGGCTCAGAACGTCTGCTCATTTTGTAACAGTGCTGTTTGTTTTCTTATTATTGAATTTTAAGACTTCTTTGCCTATTTGGGGTGAGTCTTTCATTATACATGTCCTACAAATATTTTCTCCCTGTCTATGGCTTGTCTTCTCACTCATTGACCTTCCCAGCCTTTTCAAAACTCCTGGGTGGAGTCTAAACTAAGTGGAGTCTACAAGGCACATTGAGCTCAGAACTCAGAGGCTTGCCATCCCCGGGCTCTTCTAGTGTGAGGCCCACGATTGGAGGCCTCTTAGTTCTCACCTAATCCCAGTCCTTCCATGCATGTACCTCTTCCCTGCTCCCTTGAGCTGTCTGGTGCCCACAATCCACCCCGCCCAGCCAAAGCATAAGGTCTACCTAAGCAAATGCTCCGTCCGGACGGGACTTTCCCCTGGCCATTGCTGCAGTCAGTATTGTCATAAGACAAGCAATTCAGAACCCAAAGCTGAGGCTGTCTTCTTGTGGTCAACAAGAGGAGGCACTGTGGCCACCGGCTGACCTCAGGGAAAGCTCTGGCACTGTGCACTGTGACTTTGTAGAAGCCACCAATCTTCCCAAGCTGGGTTTTCATACCTGTGGGACAGGTACAGCTGCACCCCCAACATGGCATGGTTCTGAAGATTAAATGAGATGGGAGCAAAGGATCTAGGAGATTGACTGGCACAGGAGCCTCAGGAAGTGGTGGTCCCTAATACCACAGGGGCATGCAGCACCCAGCAATGGCGATACACACAAACTTTATCCCACAATCTGGACCTTATTACTGCCTCCTTCCGGGACTTTCTCAGGAACAGCAAGCCTTCCATGATGTTAACACCTTGAGCTGGTGATGTCTTAAAAACAACAACAACAAATTCCTTATTTGCAAACACACAAGTCTTAATGGTTTTTTGAGAGGCTAACCTGTACCTCCCCATTCAAGGAGGAGCTGGGTGTTGCGGGTTAAAAAACAGACACCACCCAAGAGTCTTCTAGCAGTTGTTTCCAAAACCTAAGACAGGGAAGCATTCAGGGTCTAGAGGGGAAAATGGCTAGGATGGAAGCAGGAGGAAGAGTGAGATGCCTCAGGACCAGGGTGGTTGGGGACTGTCGGGGCGGGGGGGGGGGGAGGGCTTTGGTGAGATCCCAAGACAAAATGGCCACTTGAGTTCCAGGCAGAGGGCAACAGGGCAGTCTTGGGGAGAGTTCTGTGTCCCCAATCAGGGCCCAACGACACCAATAGCCACCAGCCTCCAAAGCCCATAGCAGCTGATGGTATCCCATGGGTCACCCAGTAGACAGATGCCTCAAGGATGAAAGGGCCACCTCCAACACCCTGGTCCTGCTTATGGTCCAGGGGGACCCAGAGGCAACCCCAGCCTGCCAATCAGGCAACTGCATGCCTTGTTAGAGACAGGAAAATCCAACGTCATCCTCTCGACACACCAGAGTGTGCAGACTGAGACTCTGACCACCCACTCACCTTGATTGGCAGGTGCTGGATGGCAGTCCCGATCAAGGACAGCCTCCCTGCAGCCAGTGCAGCTTTGCCTGTGGGTCTCCCCTGGCCGCTGGCCAACCCCTTCACTTTGGCATCAGAGCCTGGCTGCCTTTGAATCTGAAGCTCCACACAACTCCCCGGTCAAAGACCCCCGACCTCCACAACCACCCAGCTCTGTACCTCACTAGCGGTCATTACCAGCCGCCTCTTTGATGGCTCATTTCCTTGGAAACATGTCCCCAGTCCTCGACTGCACAGCTCCCTCTGTAATGACTCACCTGAGCCCTGCAGGACGGAGCAGGGCCGGGAGACGGACGCGCAGCACCTCTCTGAATTAAATCAGCACTGCTGTCTTTGGGAATGACAAAGTGACACCTGCTTGACTTCGAACGTAGGAGTCAGTAAGCAGGGGAGGCTGACGGTTTGTTTCCACAAGGCAAAAAGAAGCAGAGGCCCGTAGAGAGCCCTAGGGCCATTGTTTTCAAAAAACATAAGTGGTTAAAATGCAGTGGCTGGGACAATTCTTCGGAAACGCCAAATGCCAATTATACAAGAGACTTTTAAAAAAGTGGTAACAGGGGCTGGGGCTGGGGCTCAGCCATGGAGCACTAGTCTAGCATGTGCCAGACCCTGGGTTTGATCCTCTGCACCACATAAAAATAAATAAAATAAAGGTACAGTGTCCAACTACAACTTAAAAAACATTTTAAAAAAACCTGGTAACAAACTTTCCTATATGCTATTCAAAACGACACCATTCCAACCCGGCTGACCCCTTGCCTGGTCTGCTCCCAGGGAGAGCACTTCCCACCTTCCTGCTCCACTGCCCTTCTTCCTTCCGGGGAAAAGTCTCCTCCACTCACTTCATGAGCTACCACCCCCAACCTTTCTTGAGCCCTGGCCCTAGACTTGGGCCCTGGGCCCATCCATTCCACTTCTGGGCTTCTGATTTTCCCCACCACATGTGAGCTTGTGACCTGCTAGGCAGATCGTCGTGTCTTCCTCCTTTCTAAGACAGCTCTTTTTAGAATGGGGCTTGTCAGGTTCACCTTTACACCCCAGAGTACCTAGTGAAGGCGCTCACATTCCACAGGTGTTTGATACATTGAATTGAATGGAAGAAACCAGCCTCGACTCCTTTCTTTCTGCAAAGGAATACATGGGGGCAGACAGGACAGTAGCTTTGACAGAGAGGTTCAAGCGTGGCTAGCCATGAGAATTCCTGGTCCTAACAGTTCTGCTGGAGGGGCGAAGGTTGAAATAGACTAAGAGAAAGTGGGGAATGGGGGATGCTTATTTCCAAATAGACTCAGCTTTTTTTCCCCCCTAAATAAGTGTGCTTATAAAAGTATCCAAACTCCATGGGAAAATACAAAGTTAAAATCACCTCTAAGTTAATTAAATTATTTCAGTTGAGATAGTTATGTCTTTTGTTTATACTCTGATTTCATTCCATAATATATATATATATATATATATATATATATATATATAATATACATATATATATATAGATATAGTAGTTTTAATATTATGACTCCTTCAAAAATCAATACTTAGTGAAGAATTTTAGATTGTTTTCTAATTAGAATAAAAGGGGGTAAACGGAGAGAGTAGCAACCACATCTGCAAAATTCCCTGGAATCCAGGGAGGTAAAGACAGGTTACTGTACTGACTCCTGATATTAGGTGCCAATTCAGAATATTAAATAAGGTCACTATTAAAAAACACCATGGAACAACAGGCTGGAAGAAATTCCAAGACCATCACAGGGACACAGGCCGGCAGCTTAGTGGAGCGCAGTTCAGTCCCCCTGGGGCAGTGTGGCCACGTGACCGCTCAGGCCCTCTTAAGCCCTCTCCCCAGCATGCTCCTCCTCGCAAGGCCTGTGGACATGGGGCAGTGAGATGATGTTCGTGGTGGTGGTGTCCACTGGCCCTGGGAGCTGGGTTCAGAGGTAATGGAGACCTTGCCCCATGGTCCCCAGTCCCCGTCTCCAGAAGCCTGAGCCGGCTTTCACTCAAAGCTCTTGCAGCCATGTTGAGCCCATGAACTTCCCTACGACCCTAAACCCCCTCTCCTGCAAAGCTCTGGCAGTTTTCTGCCGCTGGGGGACAGACACAAAGTTTTCTTAGGATAGGGCAGTTGGTAGCTGCTGCATGAACTGGCCCTTCTACATGTCCACTTCCCCGTGTGGACCTCTCTGGCCACTGGTCACTGGGTTCTCTTCCTGGGGCTCCTGGTGGAGCCATGATCTGCTGTCTGGGCAGCTGTGAGTTGGGAAACAACCCCTGGATGTCAGGCTTCACTATGCTCAGAGCAGCAGCACAGGCTGTGCACTGAGATTTTCAGGAACATCCCTGTGATCCACTCATCTTGACTATTATTTCTTCCATATTCTCCTGAGCAAGTGAATTGGGCAATTCCAACCTACCTCTTGTTAAGGAATGTCTGGGACACACATACACTTTGTAGAGAAGCTGACACATTGATTTATCCACCACCTGGACTATGAAACAGAATGAAACGCCTGAGGTCCCCGGGCACCTCTCCCTAACCGTGCGCCTGGCCCGCTGTCACTAGCCTGAATTTGGTGGATGAGTCCCATATGTCTGTCTTCCTTTCAAACATATGTATCTCTAAATAATGCATACAATAGTCGTTCCTGTTTAAAAACATTTGCATTCATATGTGCATGCTGCCATATGCTTTCCTGGGATTTATCTGTTAATGCCGATGGTGCTCCGCTGTGTTCTGGCCTCCACAAAACCAAATGCACATTCATGAAAGAGGCTGGTGATCTTTACGAATTCCCTCATGAGACTGTTCAGAAAGGTCGTCAAATCATCCGTGCCACACAGCCATCAGATAGGCGCACCGAGGCTGCACAATACTGAACCCTCACTGCTGGGAGCAGCTGCCCGGGCTCGGCTACCTGACTGTTGGTCCAGACCAACATGGCTGCTGGTTCAGCCCTCAGTGTCCTCTCCAGGACCAGCAACTGAAGCCAGGGATCGATTGTGTCCCTGTGATGGTCATGAGAGCACCTGGTTGTAAAGTGCTAGTCAGCACAGCCTGGGATGGCAACCAAAGGCTCCTGGAGTGGGGTCTGCTGTCCTAACAGGGCTGTGTGATGGCCAGCCCACCCCAGTGATCACCAGGGGGGTGAGGGCGTGCTTGGCTCAGAATGACCTATGGGCACATCCACAGACTCAAGGGACACTTTCTGTGGAAGAGGAGTGCAAATGATGTCACCGCTGGTAGAGAATGACTTGGTAAGCCAAAGCCAGCAGTTCCTGCACCACGGGTGACCAAGCAAACCCAACTCCCTGTCGACAGCAAGAGACAACTTCAGCTGAACCAATCAGAAGCCACAAGCTGACCTTAACGAGGATTCCACTTCACCCAATCACAGCGTGCCTTGCAAGTCTTCTCTTCACACCCTCAGCAGGCTGAACTGCTGTCGTCTGCCATTGCCAACCCACGACCCGCTCTCTGCTCACACCCTGTGGCCCCTTCTTAGCTAGGGGATGTTCCAAGCCCCAGTGGATGC